AAAGCCTGTGCGACCGTCCCCATCTTAGGGGGAAGTTGAAAGTGAAGGGGGAGGGAGGCGCCTCCGAGGAGCGTCGCCGCGAGGGTCAGGTTACACACTTCCGGAGCGCGCCGCGCGCTCGCGGGCGTCTCTCCCCAAAGTCACTCGGATTCCGTTTCGCCGAGTTTCTCGCAAAGCGCAGCCTTCAGGTGGGGGGAGGTGGGGAGGAAAGGCCGGCGCGGCCCATCCGACCTCCGGCGGGACGGGCTCAGTCGGCGCGGGCAGCGTGCCTGAGCTTCGAGCCCAGGCTGGATGCTTTATGGAGCGTGGGGTGGTTTTCCAGTTTCCCTGTCCCCCCAGTGCCCTGCTCGGTTTCCGGGGTGAAGCAGTTGTGTAGGACGGATCCAGCTGTTTCCGTCTCCTCGCTCAGGCTGGGCTCATTCTCCCAGTTGCAGATGTAGGACAGCCAAGTGGTGAGAAACCAGTATGTGTAAAATTTTATGCATATAGGTGAGGTCCAACCGTCAGTAATACTCTCCAACAGCACCCTGAAGAATTAGCATCTTTGGCTTTTGGCACAGGGGGGAAAAGCTTGCGTGCCGATTTTGAGGTGTAACTTGCGCTCCCCCAGCGCGTGAAACCTCCCCTGGCTTTGCAAGAGTTTTGACCCAAACACTGGCAGCCACGTGCCTCAGCCCTGCTCATTTTCTTGGTTTTTAGAAGGAAGGATTCTCTAACCAAAAGCATTGCTTTAAATCTTAAGTACTGCACATTATAAATTGAAAATATCAGTTGGTTATTTGTCTATCCCAAATGGCACTTTGGTGCGGATCATTATTGTTAAAAGGTAGTTGTCAAGTAGTGAAATTATGTTCTTTTTTAGATTACTTGTTACCTGGTCTTAACCGTCACGATGCTCATTTTGAAACAGCATCTAGTGATTTGAAATAGTCATTAGCCCTGGCAGGGTAGCTCAGTTGGTTAGAGCGGCATACCAACACGCGGGCGGTTTCGCGTTTGATCTAGGCTCATGCAAAACGCAGCCAGTGCATGCGTAAATAAGTGGAACCGCAACAAACTGATGCGTCTCTCTCTCTCCTTTCCTCCCTCGCCCTCCTTCCCTTCCTCTCTCTCTCCTCTGTCTCAAATCAATAATTTAAAAAAAATCTTTCATGTTGTTTATAGACAAGAATCACTGCCCCCTGCAACTTAAATTTTCAGGAGGCATTCTATTCATAGATGAGTCCTGGCTGCTTTTGTAAGTTCCTCTTGTAACTCACAACTTCGTTGGACAGTGCTAGGAATGTTCTAAAGCAGTAAGACCAAGAGAGATTGGAAAAACTTTAAAATTCAAAATATAACTGAAAATAAACATTTCTGAAAGTTCTTGACTCAAGTGATGGGTAACACATCAAAATTTGAGCCTTTATAACTTTTAAAAATCTGCTTTGTCAGCCACATAATTTAACTCTCAATTGCACTGACACAGATCTGTGTTGGGCATTTAAGAATTATTTTAATGGGCTTTTGTTCATATCATATATAGTGAAAGAACATCTTTTAGAAAATGTTAGGAATGGTCTCTTTTTCATGTGATCAATTACATATTGGCAAGTGCATGAATGTTAAAGTAGGAGGGACTCAAGCTCAAGGCCATGCTAACATCTCTTTCTTCCCTAGGGAAGTCCCTGAGCAGGAGGAAGCAGCAGATTTTAAGTTATGAGAAACCGATTTGGACTTTGAACTTACAGGACCGTAGATTTGGTGGTTTACTCAAGTCATTAGATTCCAGGTTTCTTTGGGACTACAAGAGTCTAGATGAGAAATTCTGAGTGTTTAATTTTAACTTTCTGAAACTATAAAGGTGAGGAGAGAACTCTGACATGATGTAGGCATTTCTATAACACGCTTTCAGAGCGAGGGTTATCCTGGGGTCTGTGGACACCTAGGGGTCCGTTAATAGGCTTCAAGAGATTCCTGAATTCCGCATCGTGACCCAAACTACATGTGTGTGTATTTTTCTGGGGAAAGGGCCTATAGTTGTTATAAAAGAGGTAAGGTGTAGGGCCCAAGAAAGCTAGAGATACATGTTTTTATTAAATAAAATGGGAGTTAGAATAATTCTTAAGGAAAATAAGTAAGTAAAAGTAAATCTTTGTGTTCAATACTTACCTCTTATTTATTTTTATTTATCTTTTTTAGTCCTCACCCGAAAATATGTTTTTAGTGATTTTAGAGAGAGAAACATCAACATGAGAGAGAAACATGGATCACTTTCTTCCTGTATGGGCCCTGACCCAGAATCAAACCCACAACTTGGGTTTGTGTCTTGATCAGGACCCGAACCCACAGCCCTTTAGCGCACAGGACAACGCTCCAGCCAACGAAGCCACACTGGCCAGGGCAGTACTTGCCTTTTAAAGTTTTCTTTAGCCTATTCATGTGGTCTTAAAGGTGCAGAAAAGCCCTTTCATTTTGTTCCCACAGCAAAGTGCTGCCTGTTAGTTGATAAACCACACACATAAAGGGCTTGACGTGCTGTCTTGAGTACATTGTGGCTGTTTTCAAATTATATTTAAGACTTGAAAGCAGAAAGATTGATGGTCTATAAGCAGAGACTTGAGCTTGACTACCAGACCCTGGAGCAAACATTTCATTCAGCTCCACTCTCTTACTACTCTCCAGCAACTCTGAAACTTGACTGGGAGATAATCACTCTAAGAAAATGTGTTTGTGCCTTGGCAAGACAGCAGGGCATGATGTGAAAAACACTGAGTTAAAACAGACAAGCTTGAGTCTGGGTTCTTTCATTTACTGTAACTACTTAACTTGCCTGACCCTCAAGTTTCT